TGTACCTTGGAAGGCAACAGAAGACGGCCACCTGCCACCCACATGGGAGAACCAGATGGAGCTCCTGGCTCCTGACTTCAGCCTGGCCCAGCCCCAGCTGTTGCAGCCACTGGGGAGTGACCCCAAAGATGAAAGATCTCTCTCTCTCTCTTTCTTTCACTTTCTCTCTCCCTCTCTCTGTTGCTCTGCCTTTCACATAAATAAACTTATTATTATTTTTTTAATGCAAAGTAAACCCACAGGGATGTGCCATTTCACGCTTACAGGGATGGCTAAAATGAAGACAGATTATAGCAAGTACTGGCAAGGAGATAAAGAAGTTGGAACACTCATTACTGCTAGGCATGTAAAATGGTGTAGTCCTTGTAGCACACAGTACAGCAGTTCTTCAAATGGTTAAACACAGAATTGCCAAACAACCCAGCAATTCTACCCCTAGGTCTATATACCCAGGAGAAATGAAAACACATCTCATCACAAAAACTTGGATAAAAATATCCACAGTAGTACCATTCATAATAAGTGAAAGGTAGGCAACAATTCAAATGTCCACATGTTGGTGAATAGATAAATAAAATGTGATATGGAAATACAATGGAATATTATTCAGCAATAACAAGGAATCCACTGACACATGCTGCAACATGAACTTGGAAACACGCTCAGAGACAGCAGCGAGCCTTGCAAGGCCACAGGTGTCTGACTCTTTATTTATGAAATGCCCAGAACAGGCAAAACTACAGGGACAGACGTAGGTCCATGGTTGCCAAGGGCTGGGCAGGGGGAAGGCAGGAACTTGGGAAAAGGAACAGCCACTGATAATGGGTATGAGGTTTCTTTTGGGGCTGAAAAAATGTTCTAAAATTGACTGTGGTAATGCTTGCAAACCATTGGATTGTATCCTTTAAATAGGTGAATCAGATGCTATGTGTATTAAATCTCCACAAAGCTGAAAAAAAAAAAATTGAAGGGGAAAAAAAAAGCAAAGGATGAGTTTCCAGCCTCAATGTCTGGACACGTGGTATCACCATCAGCCAGAACTGGGACTGCAGCTGGGAGACCGTATCTGGGTGACACAAATGCGTCTTGGACACATTCAGTGGCTGAGGGACGAGGACAGTGGACAGCCAGGAGAGAGGCTGGGTTTGAGACAGTGATGCAGTGTTTCTTACTGGTGCATCTGAATGCATCTTTTTAAGAAACATTTTTAAAAGATTTATTTATTATTTTATTTGAAAGGCAGAGTTACAGGGAGAGCGAGAGACAGAAAGAGATCGATCTCCCATCTGTTGGTTCACTCCTCAAAAGGCCACAACAGCCAGGGCTGGGCCAGACTGAAGCCAGGAGCTTCCTCGGGGTCTCCCACGTGGGTGCAGGGGCCCAAGCACTTGGGCCATTCAGCTGCTTTCCCACTAGCAGAGAGCTGGATCAGAAGTGGAGCAGCCGGGACTCAACCCAGCACCCAAGCGGCTACACCACCACACCAGTCCCTGAACGTATCTTTCAACCTCCGGAACAGCCCTTTCCGCTGGGTGTTTGTCCCCAGTTTCCATGATTTTCCCAGGACTACAAAGCGGCTAAGTGGGAGTGGTCTGTCGGAATTCCACATCACTGTGCAATGCTGCCATCTCTCAGCCTCTCAGTTCTCTGCTGATTTGGCATGAATGCAAACAGCAAAAGGTCATAAAAACGAACTTCTGCAAATTTACAGCAAATACGTGACTACCTGACTGTGTTAGGGGCCAGGGTTAATACAGAGATAAACTGGATAGGGGTCCACAGTTCTGAACAAAAAGACATTTAAGGTAATATTTGTTGTGGTTGCTCAAACGCTTGCCAGTTCATGAAGCTCTGTCCCACATATTGTGCGAACCTCTCCCCCAAACCTCTCATAAGTAGGTCTGAGGGTATTCCAAAAGGCTCATGGAAAAATGAGGTTAAAAGATGGGTTTATTTTGCTGCCAAAAAACCTGAAATCAATGCAGTTTTTTCATAGTATACATTTTCCATGAACTGTCTAAAAAGATCCTTTGTGGGCACGGATGTCAAAAAGTTTTTGTGCCCAAATCAACTTTTTTTTTTTTAATATTTATTTATTTGAAAGTCAGAGTTACACAGAGAGAGAGGAGAGGGAGAGAGAGTGGTCTTCCATCCTCTGGTTCACTCCCCAATTGGCCGCAACAGCTGGAGCTGTGCCAATCCGAAGCCAGGAGCCAGGAGCTTCTTCCCGGAATCCCATGTGGGTACAGGGGCCCAAGCACTTGGGCCATCTTCTACTGCTCTCCCAGGCCATAGCAGAGAGCTGGATCGGAAGTGGAGCAGCGGGGACTCGAACTGGCGCCCATATGGGATGCCGGTGCTTCAGGCCAGGGCATTAACCTGCTGCGTCACAGCACCATCAAATCAACTTCTTTTAAGCCCATTTTGCATGGACTTTTCAGAGCGCCCTCCCAACGTAAGTCCTCCTCAATTAGGCTTTTGCCCAACACCTAAAAGATGCTTCCCAAAGAGACTTGGAACTGTTCAAGGCAACAGCCGATTTTGAACTTGAACTAGGGGCTTCTGACACTGCCGGCTCTCCCCGACCTGGACACACCTTGCGTTTGCCTTTACTCTCCTGCCTCTCACTTTTGTCCACTGTGGGACCTGTGCTCTCACAGTTCTCGTTCTGGAATGTTCTTCACACGACTAACAAGCCTGCTTAGATCTCGGGTCTTCAGTGAGGCCTGCCGTGACTACCAAACTTAACACTGCAGCCGGGCCCTCCCGCTCTGCACCCTTAACACTGGCCAGCCCTTACCAACTCCCCACATATGTCAGTTACTTAGCAGGGTTACTATTCGCACCTCTCACCCCACGAGAATGAAAAAATCTATAATAGCAAGGACCTTTGTTTTGCTCACTGATGGCTCATTATCACTGGGTCCTAACAAATCTTGAGCAGGAATCTGAATCCCAGCCAGGACCCCAAGTTCCTTCCATAGGAGCAGAGACCAGTGAACCGAAGACACCCCATTCCCGAGACTAGCAGTGTCCACGCAGCTGTCACAATCCACCCCTCACCTCCCTTCTCAGTTCCACAGTGGCTTCCACGTCTCAGCGAGTCAAGCCAACTACTCAATCTGTTAAGACCTATCTTGGGGCTGGTGCTGTGGTGTAGCAGGTTAATCCTCTGCCTGCAGTGGCGGCATCCCATATGGGCACTGGTTCGAGTCCCGGCTGCTCTACTTCCCATCCAGCTCTCTGCTATGGCCTGGGAAAGCAGTAGAAGATGGCCCAAGTGCTTGGGCCCCTGCACCCACATGGAATGCTGGGAAGAAGCTCCTGGCTTCTGGCTCCTGGCTTTGGATGGGCACAGCTCCGGCAGTTGCGGCCATCTGGGAGTGAACAAGCAGTTGGAAGACCTCTTTCTCTCCCTTTCTCTGCCTCTCTGTAACTCTGCCTTGCAAATAAATAAATTAGCAATAATAATAATAAAAAAAGACATGCACTCCAACATGGTCCTGCTTGCTTTGAAACTAAAAACAGTTTGGATGCCTCAGGGCCCAAGGCACGTGGGCTCCAGTTTTCCACAGGTGTGACTGTTTCTCACTTGAGGCTGGACCCCAGGGCGACAGGAAATTGCTTCCTTCCCTTCCCAGGAGGCTAAGCCCCCTGCACAGTGTCACAGTGTCACCTCCTCCCTGAAGGCTCTCTGGCTTCTAGCTCCGGCTGCATAATTAATCACTTCCTGTGTTAGGGGCTCACTCACTGCCCAGCCGCCCACCTTGTACACAGCAGAAAGAATTCCACTCCTCCAAGCGGGCCCTGGCTGTTGAGCTGGGTGAGGTAATGACAGCAGACAGAGAGCACCCGGAAAAAATAACATTTCCAGATTACACTTTAAAAAAATCAAAATTAGGCCGGCGCCGCGGCTCACTAGGCTAATCCTCCGCCTAGCGGCGCCGGCACACCGGGTTCTAGTCCCGGTCGGGGCGCCGGATTCTGTCCAGGTTGCTCCTCTTCCAGGCCAGCTCTCTGCTGTGGCCCGGGAGTGCAGTGGAGGATGGCCCAGGTGCTTGGGCCCTGCACCCCATGGGAGACCAGGAGAAGCACCTGGCTCCTGGCTCCTGCCATCGGATCAGCGCGGTGCGCGGGCCGCCGCGGCGGCCATTGGAGGGTGAACCAACGGCAAAGGAAGACCTTTCTCTCTGTCTCTCTCTCTCACTGTCCACTCTGCCTGTCAAAAAAAAAAAAAAATCAAAATTAATGCAAAATATTGAAATTTAAAACACTACATTCAAGAGTTTCAGGACTAGGTCTGCAACCCTCGCCCACCAACTAGAGTGTGACCTGAACTCCCGGCTCGGGCCGGGGCTGGAACCACGCTTTCGGAAAAGCCTGGGGACAGGGGGTGTCTGCGGCGCGCCGTGCACCTGTGCACGCGTGTTGCACACTTGCGCACACACATTTTCTGCTCTCTCTGCTCTTTCCCAATGCTGGCCCCTGGACAGGGCAGAGTAGCGCCGCCGAGGGAGTGGCCAGGGCGCGGACTCAGCGCTGGCCACGACCGGCGCCACGGGGCTGCCTGTGGGGCCCGCCGCTCGGAATTCCCACGGGCACACCTGGCAGGTGAGGCGCGACCCCTCTCAGGTGCCTCGATCTCAGGCACGCGCCACTCCCGGAGAGGCGGCAAAAGGACCCGAACCTGCAATCGCCAGACCCTCCAAAGTCTCCGCGGGTCGCCCGCAAATCGCCCTCCAGCAGCAGCCGGCGGACGAGCAAAGAGCGAAGCGACCTGAGCCACCCGGCCAGCGCGCAGGCGGGCAGGAAGGAGGAGCGGCTCCCCTCGCTCCGCCCCGCCTCCTCCCCCGGCCTCGACCAATCGCCGCGCGCTGCGAACCCGGCCACGCCCCCTTCCCCGCCCCTGCAGCCCCGCGGCTCCGCCCGGGCCGGTAATAATCAGGCCGCGGGCGGGCCGCGCCGCGTCAGCGCCGGGCGCCGACCAATCGGAGCGCTCTCCCCGGTCTCGCGTCACAGGCCGAACAACCAAACAGAAAAGTTTAATAAACAGCGGACGGAGAGGGGGGCCGGCGGTGGCTGGGCCGGAGCGAGCTGGGGGGTTCTGCGGCCTCACCTGTCCCCATTCACCGGCGGCGACCGGCGGCGGCATCGGCGGGCAGCGCGTCAGGCGGAGGCGGCCGCCGCCAGGTGAGCAGCAGCGCGGCCCGCGCCGCCCGGCCGCCGCGCCCTTCCCCCACCGGCGGCGGCCCCTCCCCGGCCCGCGGGCCGCAGGCGCCGGGCGGCGCAGCAGGTGGGGGCCCCGCGGCGGCCGGGGCGTCGGCGAGGGCCCTGAGGCGGCGACGCGGCGGGCGCCCGCCCTCCGGGGCCGGCTTGCAGTCAGGGGCGGGGGGCGCGCCGGGCCCGGCCCCCCCCCACCTCAGCCGCCCGGTTGCGGAGCCGTTGGCGGGTGAGGGGCGCCCCGCCGAGCGCGAGGTGGCTTCTGGCAGGGTCTCTCCGCCTGCCGCGTGTTGGGGGGCCCCGGGAGGGGCGGGGAAGGGTGGGCGGCGTGGAGCGGGTGCGACCCCCGGGGCGCCTCTTCCTGGCCCCCCGCCCCGCCTGGTTCTTTGCTCCGCGTTTCTGGGCGGGGGGCTGTGGGGTGTGCAGGCGATGGGACGCGGCGGGGTGAGAGGGGGTCGCGTGCGCCCCCCGGAGCTGCACCTGTTCCTCGGGGGGTGGGGGTGGGGGTGGAGACCGCAGGCGACTCCGAGAAACTGGAGCGGACGCCCCTTTCGAACCCGGGGCAGGGTTGATGGATGGATGGGTCGATTTACGTAAAATGCCATCAACTCGTCCAGGTTCGCTGCGTGGCGACCGTGTCACCAGTTTTAGGGCGCGCGCTGAGCTGTTGCAGCCTGCGGGGCTTCGGGGTGGGGGGGCGCGGGGTGCGCACGGGTGAATTCCCTTTTACAATGTAGGAATCTGTATATTTTTAAATAAGTGTAAGGGAGGCCGAGAGCGCCAGGAATGCCGGAGGGAAACTGAGGGCTTGGTGCATTTATTGCCTCGACTGTGTATCCATAACGTGCGGGCCTCTGCCTTGTGCGCCGTTTTAAATACTGGCGTGCGTGCAGCTTTTTGTATGTCAGTTAAATCAGAATAAAAAAATTTTTTAAAGTGGCCAAGAGCGCATCTAATACCATAAAGGAACAGTTTGCACACAGTGTACTAAGGGAAACTGTGACTCCTCCTTGCAAACCCAGAACGGGAGCGCTAGGAAAACTTGGGTCTGGGTCTGGGCTCCCCGTCCTGTGGGTCACTCCAGTCGGGCGCACTGGGTTGGTCATTCTTTTGCCTTTTTAAGAAGTTGTTTTATCACATATGTTGGTGTGCCAGAAGCAGCGTGGGGTTTGCTTTGCTTTGCTTTGGAGTTTTACGAGAGCTGGTATGCTGCCGTAGTCCTGTGCTGGGAGCTTTTTAATATCGTGTTTCTCTCCCGGAACTCGGGCGCACGCAGGCCCGTGTTCCTGGTTTTGATTTGGTCTTGCCACTAGCAGCGTGAACAACTTCTCGCTTCTCCTCCTGGACAAGCCGTTTCCTTGCGAATGCTTCCTGTAGGCTGCATCACAGAGTTTCAGGTAGTGCGTGAAGTAGATGGAAATACTTGGAAGGAAAGTCCTGGAAGAAGTTGAGGGTCTGACCCCCGCGGATTGGTTCCGCGTAGCTGAGTATTTGCAGGAGGAGCAGAGATCCTGTTTGTAAGGAATCTTCCTCTAATTACTGTGTAAAGTCCTCGGGCATTATTCAGCATCTTCTGTAGCAGAGAAAGCTCTCTGACGCAGCCGGCTCTGCCTTCCCTCCCCGCTTCCCCCAGCGACCCTGAGACCTGCTCTGTGGCTTCCCGTGCCGCGGAGAAAACCCTGCCCACAGCTTTTCCTTCCGGTTCTGCCTGGACCGGCGTTGAGGCAAACACCTGTCAAGTGGCAGAGCCTTCCAGGGAAGCCTTGAGACCAAGGTGTCACTCTGCGGCATTGCCTTGTGCGTCCTTGGCCACATTTTTTGGAGAAACATGTGGATATTTCAAGAGTTATTAAGCGCATATTTCAGTATTTTTTAGATCTGAGAATGCCCCCAGGTGTTCCTCCAGAGCGGTCTGTTTTTATCATGCCAACAGCAGTGCAGTGACAAGTTAGGGCACAGTGGTGGAGGCGTGGTGCTGTGTGTGTGTGTGTGTGTGTATGTGTGTATAGTGACAAGTCAGGGCACAGTGGTGGAGGCGTGGTGCTGTGTGTGTGTGTGTGTGTATAGTGACAAGTTAGGGCACAGTGGTGGAGGCGTGGTGCTGTGTGTGTGTGTGTGTGTGTGTAATGTAAGTGACAAGTTAGGGCACAGTGGGGTGGTGCTGTGTGTGTATGTGTGTATGTATAGTGACAAGTTAGGGCACAGTGGTGGAGGCGTGGTGCTGTGTGTGTGTGTGTGTGTATAGTGACAAGTTAGGGCACAGTGGTGGAGGCGTGGTGCTGTGTGTGTGTGTGTGTGTATAGTGACAAGTTAGGGCACAGTGGTGGTGGTGCTGTGTGTGTGTGTGTATAGTGACAAGTTAGGGCACAGTGGTGGAGGCGTGGTGCTGTGTGTGTGTGTGTGTGTATAGTGACAAGTTAGGGCACAGTGGTGGAGGCGTGGTGCTGTGTGTGTGTGTGTGTGTGTGTAATGTAAGTGACAAGTTAGGGCACAGTGGGGTGGTGCTGTGTGTGTATGTGTGTATGTATAGTGACAAGTTAGGGCACAGTGGTGGAGGCGTGGTGCTGTGTGTGTGTGTGTGTGTATAGTGACAAGTTAGGGCCCACTCGTCGAGGCGTGGTGCTGTGTGTGTGTGTGTGTGTATAGTAGAGAGTTAGGGCACAGTGGTGGAGGTGGTGGTGCTGTGTGTGTGTGTGTGTATAGTGACAAGTTAGGGCACAGTGGTGGTGGTGCTGTGTGTGTGTGTGTATGTGTGTATAGTGACAAGTTAGGGCACAGTGGTGGTGGTGCTGTGTGTGTGTGTGTGTAATGTATAGTGACAAGTTAGGGCACAGTGGTGGTGGTGCTGTGTGTGTGTGTGTATGTGTGTATAGTGACAAGTTAGGGCACAGTGGTGGTGGTGCTCTGTGTGTGTGTGTATAGTGTCAGGTGGCTTGTTTTTGTCTGAAGCTGGAAGTAGAGATGGTTTAGTTTTTGCAGCAGGTCACTTGCAGAGTGTCGGGATGCCTTGTTTTGGTAGGGCTGTGCCATCTGGCTGTGTTTGCATTTGACTGTAAGGGGTATGGGGTGTGTGTGTGTGTGTGTGTGTGTGTGTGTTTCCCCCAAACTTTGAGAAGGATTTGAAAGTTAGAAAGAAAAGCCACTCATAACATATCCCTGCCACTTTAAATAATCATTGTTGGGGCCTGCACTGTGGTGTAGCGGGTAAAGCCACCGCCTGCAGTGCCAGCATGCCATGGAGTTCCGGCTGCTCCACTTCCAATCCAGCTCTCTGCTGTGGCCTGGGAGAGCAGTAGAAGATGGCCCAAGTCCTTGGGCCCCTGCACCCGCGTAGGAGACCCGGAAGAAGTTCCTGGCTCCCTGGCTGCTGGCTCCGGATGGGTGCAGCTCGGGCCGTTGCGGCTTGTTGGGGAATGAACCAGAAGATGGAAGACCTCTCTCTCTGTCTGCCTCTCTTTCTCTCTCTGTAACTGTGACTTTCAAATAAATAAACAAATCTTTTTAAAAAAAGAATCATTGTGAATATTTTGTCAGGTATATCCTGGTCTTTCTGTGTATTTTCTTTTTTTTTTTTTTAAAGATTTATTTATTTATTTGAAAGTTAGAGTTACACAGAGAGAGGAGAGGCGAGAGAGAGAGGTCTTCCATCTGCTGGCTCACTCCCCAATTGGCCGCAACGGCCGAAGCTGCGTGGATCCGAAACCAGGAGCCAGGAGCTTGGAGCTTCTTCTGGGTCTCCCACGTGGGTGCTGGGGGCCCAAGGATTTGGGCCATCTTCTACTGCTTTCCCAGACCACAGCAGAGAGCTGGATTGGAAGTGGAGCAGCCAGGTTTTGAACCGGCGTCCATAAGGGATGCCGGCGCTTCAGGCCAGGGTGTCAACCCGCTGCGCCCCCTCTGCGTATTTTCTTTATCTCTCCTCCCCTCTGCTCCCCTCCCCTCCCCATCCATCTCCTCTCCTCCTCTCTCCCCCTCATTCTCTCCCCACGCCCTTCCTCTTGTTCATTCCCCAAATGCCTGCAACTGCCAGGACTGGGCAGGCCTAAGCCAGGAGCCAGGAACTCAGTCTGGGCTTCCAGGTGGGGGGAGGGACCCAAGTACTTGAGTTAGCTCTGCTGCTTCCTGGGGTGTGCACTAGCAGAAAGCTAGAATCAGAGGGTGGAACCTGAACCCAGGCGCGTTGCTGTGGGATGTTGGTGTCCCAAGGAGTTTCTTCATTGTGAGGCCAAACACCTGTTCCTGTGTGCATGTTCTTAAGTTCTTTATTTTCTAAACTAGTAATTCAGAACAGCCTTGGGCTGGCTGTACTTTTTTTTTTTTTTTTTTTAAGATTTATTTATTTATTTGGAAGGCAGAATTACGTAGAGGCAGACACAGAGAGAGGGAGAGGGAGAGGTCCTCCGTCTGCTGGTTCACTCCCCAGGAGGCTGCAAAGGCTGGAGCTGCACCGATCCGGGGTCTCCTATGGGGTGGGGGTGGGGTGCAGGGGCCCAAGGACCTGGGCCGTCTTCTACTGCTTTCCCAGCCACAGCAGAGAGCTGGATCGGAAGTGGGGAGCCAGGACACGGGACACAAACCTGCGCCCACAGGGAATGCTGACACTCTGGCTGCACTTTCTAACCTGATCCCAAGTATGATCTGTTTCCCTACCTTTGTTTTATGTTGCGCGGTGAGGCCTGCTTCAGCTTTCACTCCTCTGCAGTCTACCCGGCTGCTCTTGGCGGAGAGCGTCATTTACGTGTGTAAATTTAAACGATTCAAACCCTTCAGTGGTGTGGCAGTACACAAAATAAATGCAGACCTCTCACTGTGGTTTTTATGTGCTAGACCAGCAATGCAAATAGGAAAATGATGGGAGCCACCCGGAGTAATTAAAAATTTTCTGATAGCCACATTGCCAAAAAGAGAAACAGGTGCAATATTTTTTATTCGGCCCCGAACGCAGTGGTTTCGGCATGCTGTCCATCCAA